CAGGAAAAGTTGTAAAAACGTATTGGCTTAAAGCTTTGAGATAAGAGTGAATTTAGCAGGACAGGAAAGACACAGGCATTTGGACGAATTGGGAAAAACATTATTTTCACTCGTTTTCCGGTAATTCTCATCAAATATTCACAGAAAATGTAATACAAACATTAACTTTTACACGCATATAGACATACGTACGTACATATATCATATGTACATATATACACGCTCGTATCTAAATGATAAATAGTTTAATAATTATTCAAGGACAGAGAATATCGTGCATAGGATAATAAGGGTGGGTTATCGTTTTATGGCTTCTTATATAGTACTAAAACTGGCGTAGAAGAAACGTAGATGTGAGAAAAAGAATGGTACAGTTGAACGAAAGAGAAATATAATTGTTCTTTTTGCTGCAGAAAGAATTTAATGGTCGGATTGCGTAATAACAAATGCATTGTTGTGCGATACATCAATGCTGATAATGTTCCTTTATGGAAATGTATATGGCGTAATAAGAAATAATGACAGATTAAATATGAAATCCATTCATTCATATATATATATATATATATATATATATATATATATATAGAGAGAGAGAGAGAGAGAGAGAGAGAGAGATTTAGTTGGATTAATGTGAGTTTGTGACCCTGGGTTTCACGCTATTTGCGATCGTCAGACAAACTGATAATTTTTTTTAATTTTGGATTTATATATGATTGCATATATCGGTGTTTTTATGGAAGTGAGAGGAAAAATTGTCGTCGGGACGCCACTCATACTTACGCAAACATACATACACGCACGTACACTCATCGACGTACGCAGACACACACATACGCACGCTCAAAAATTTTAAAAATTAATCAGTTTGTCTGACGATCGCAAATAGCGTGAAACCCAGAGACACAAATTCACATCAATCCAACCAAATATGTTAGCTCTATCACGGATATTGAGCACTTTCCAATAAGTACCGCGCATATATATAAATAATATATATAAAAAATTGCATATACTTATATATATATATTTATATTTATATACATATACATTTCACTCACACACACACACTCACACACACATACACAAACACACACACATACGTATATATATATATATATATATATATATATATATATATTATCCCTTACCGTCATATATTATACGGGGATTACATTTTTTATTTTAAAAATATATATTTGGCATTTAAAATAAACCAGATTTATATATATATATATATATATATATATATGGAAAAATATTTTAGAATTGTGAACATTATTTTCTTATTTTAAGTATTAAGGGAAATTACGTGTTCTTTAAATAAACAAACATATCATAATTAACATTAAAAATTAATCCAGATCAACCTATTTGAGCAGATGTTTTTTATGCCTACATGTAACAATCAATTCATTTTGTTTAAAAACCTTGGATTATTTAAGTGTTTTAAAATAACTAATTTTTCAACAAGGCAATTATATTTACTGACTTTCCAATTGTAAAATTTGATTCTTGTTACAATGTCCCACGTAATAATGGGTGTATTATCACAATTCTTTAATTCCAGGAATATTTAGAGAAAGCAATGCTTTTTTTTTTGTATTTTATATTGCCTAAATTCATTCGGTGATGGTAGAAAGAAATTTCCAAGGATTTTTAGGGAAACAAAATAAAATTTGATATCGTTACCGGATTGTATGCTAGCTCAGTATACAATATTATCAGTCATACATTGACCGTTAAAGGGACATCCTATTTTTTCGGCAGTTACATTTATTTTTTTTAAATCAACTTTGTCGTGTTCGTTGGACATGTATCTGTTTTATATAATATTATATATTATATATAGATATAGATTTATTGATATTACCACAGCTATAGCTGATCTTAACATTATTTTTGTTTAAAAAATCTTTTTTAGTGTTGGTGAATGATTAAAGTGCTTATGAATTAAGTTTAGGAAAATTCTTCTGATATTCGTTTGAACATTATGATTAAAAGGTGAATTAAACTATACAATGTTATACCTGCGGTGTTTCTTTTTATTTTTACATTTTTTTATCCTTTTCTAAATACTCTAAATTTACTTTTTGGTTGCCTAGTTTTAAAGCTTTCATATATTTAATTTGATTATTATCAAATATTTCCTTATTGCTAGAGTTGGTAGATAATCTAACATTTATACAAATTATCTAGAATGTAATGAGGGTGGTTTGAATTTTTATTGATGTATCTGTGGTTATATATATATATTTGGTATATGATTTGTAATAACCAATATTCAAGTTCATGGTCACATCCAGAAAGTTGATCACTTTAGCATTGGTGATAGTGGTAATATTTAGCTCATGATCTTTGTATTATTTTATCAGTTCCTTTCTCAATCGGTCTATATTCCTTGGACTTGTTTTACGGAGGAGAATTGCACCGTCATTTCTATAGTCCGGTGTCCTTAATGTCGAAAATAAATCTTAGTCGCCAGAATAACAAGATTCCTACAACTCCACACGCCTCTGATGAATCATATGCTCCCATATCATGCTAAATTCTACGTTACTTCTTTTGGTTCACAGACAACCATTATGGAATAATATAGGTTTTTGTGTCTGCTTTATAACTTTGATTTCGCGATCGGTAATAAGATAGTAATTTCTTGCTAAATGGATAGACATTAGCAGATTCTCAGTGATGGATGGGTAAAAGTCACAAATATCGAATTGGATGAACGTACATTCTTTCTTCCTTTTTAGATTAGTAAACCATTCTATGGCTTCTTCTGTTTCATGCCACTGGTTAATTCCTAGAGCATCTTTCGTGTATTTGCGGGCTCTTTTAAGGATTTTTTGGTGATTTTACCGATATTATATTTAGTTGTGTTGAGTAATCGTTATTGCGGGTTATTTAGGAAATTGTGGTCTTTAACTGTGATTAATGCTTTTTGTTTGTGAAATTTGTAAATACTATCATCAATTTTTAATTCAGTGGCTATTTTCTTGGCTTCACTATTAATATTATTTTCCCAGTTGCTGGGTGCCTTTTTATAAAACTTATTAACTTCTTTGTTAATAACTTTGTGGTACATATCTACATCGATTTCGTAATAATTACCTGTCTTGTCTGTATTGATAATTATCTTATCTTTTTGATCATTGAAAAATTCTTTTGCATTTTTTTCTGTATGTCGTTGGTAATTTTATCGAATTTAATTTTGTCTATTACCGAGAATAGGTCTTTCTCGGAGTCCAATATTTGTTCGTTGCATAGTGGTGTTTTGGGAACTTAAATCCATAAAACTCGGCATCTTTTAAGTTCTTATACTCGTTCTTGCGTTTAAAGAAGAAGAGTTTCTACTTTGTTCTTTTTATGACGATCTCGAGCGTGGGTAAAAGAGTCAGGAAAATATGTTTTTAGTGGGATAGTCCAAGTTAATATATATATATATATATATATATATTAGGACCTTGAATAAATTCTCGCTGTTTTCCAACAGATGACGTTCCCAGAACTGTGTGCGTGTAGTTTCAGAGATGGTAATGCATCTATAAGGAAGTGCTATAAGCAAGCTTGAAATTCAGTTTATATCATTTCGCCGAAGTGTAAACAACTTTCTTTTTCATAGCATTTAACATGTCGGATTTCGTGCCAAAGAAATTGTATTTGCGGGGAATTTTACTGCACTACTTTATCTAAAAGAAATCTGAAACTGAAGCGCACAGAATTCTTGCTGAAAAATACGCCGACCATGCTCTGTCGGAAACAACATACAGACATTGGTTTAGACGCTTCAAAAATAATGATTTTGATGTTAAGAATAAAGAACGCTCTGGTGCATCGAAAAAGTTTCAAGATAAAGAATTTGAATCATGTCAGGCGCAAGCTGAACTTGCAGAATCATTAGAAGTTGATGACATAAGAGTTTCGAAACGTTTGAAAGCATTAGAAAGGATTCAAAAGCAATGACATTGGGTGCTGTACGAGTTGAAGCCGAGGGAAGTCGAACGGCGTCTTGTCACGTGTGAACAGCTGCTTCAACGACAAAAAAGGAAAGTTTTTTTTTGCATCGTATCGTGACCGGCGATGAAAAGTGGATACACTACGATAACCCTAATCGTAGAAGATCGTGGGGTGAGCCCAGGCAATGCATCAACATGTATCCGAATATCAATGGTCCGAAGCTTCTGCTCTGCATTTGGTGGGATAAGCTGTGTATAGTTTATTATGAGTTGCTCAAACCGACCGAAACCATCACGAGAGGTAGCTATCGACTACAATTTATGAGTTTGCACCGATCATTGAAGCAAAAAAACTGTCGCTATATGAGCAGAGACACAACAAAGTAATTTTGCAACATGACAACACTAGGCCTAGTGTTGTCATGTTACAAAATGGGTGAAACCTATATATATATATATATATATATATATATATATATATGAGTGTGTGTGTGTGTGTACGAATGTATAAATAAATATAAAATATAATATATATATAAATATATATCTACATACATATATATATATAAATATATATATATCTACATACATATAATTAATTAATGGATATTATATATATATATATATATATATATATATATATATACATACCCACTACAAAACTGCACATCTCCTTTCAACGTTAAAAGAGTTTTTAACGTTGAAACAATATGTACAGTTTTGTAGTGGGTATGTACATGTTCTAATGCAACACTGCATAATCAATAAATATTTATTGCTCTAATTTTGTATTGAGCGCTGTTTTAAATTAAAGTTTTGAACGTTGAAATCTTACTCTACGTTTTTTTTTTTACATTATATATATATATATATATATATATATATATATATATATATATATATATATATATTGAATTCATAGATTTTGTATTTAATCGGTCATTATTTCTTATTCATCCATTTAGACATATAATAAAAACTTCATATTCAATATTGGAGTGGTTGGTATTTGACAAAGACTTTTTGCTAATATATATTTTATTACTATTGCATATATATATATATATATAGAGAGAGAGAGAGATAGATAGATAGATAGATAGATAGATAGATAGATAGATAGATATTCAATATCAATTTTCGAAAGATGGAAATATTGATGTCCTTGTATCAAAAATATTATAACGGTTATATGTATACAGTGTGCGATGAGTAAATAAATTCTGGCCCTTTTAGATTTTTAATTTCGCGCATGCACTTTGTTTTTTATTTTTATCGACTACACAATATAGTAGGGTCGGTTGGGCCCCGTCTCTGAGAAAAAGTGCGCTAATTCTATACTTTGATACATATATATATATGTGTGTGTGTGTGTGTGTGTGTGTGTGTGTGTGTGTGTGTGTGTGTGCTTCATACTCCAATCTTTCGAACAGGAGTAAAGGTTTATCACTATCGAGTTTCGTGTTTAGAATTGGGTCTCCGGTTCCTTATAAAGTCTTCTCATTCTCTTTCTCTCCCACTAACCCCTTTGAATCTTAGTCGTATTATCGCTTTACATGTAATAAATTGCTTATATAGATACAACTGGTGCAACCGATGAGGAATAATATGTATATTTATTAATATATACTTAATAACACTGTTATATAACTATTTTATTAACACCACCGCTCAATGTGCGATATCTTATATTCATTTTATATATATATATATATATATATATATATATATATATATATATATATAATAAAATAAAAAAAAAAATAATTGTCTTTTCTATATGTCACGCAAATCGTAGTCAACATGTCGTATTTGAACTCATAAATATCAAGGTTGGTCATCTTGAAATAAAGAAAAGACCGCTCAAAGAAGAGCATAGGATCCTTCTTTTTTATTTTTATTTATTTATTTTATTCTGTTTTTTTTTTTTTTTTATTATTTTATTCATTTTATTTTTGTGCATGGGACATATATATATGTATGTATTTATATTTACGTATATATATATATATATATATATATATATATAACAGTTTATAATAAATATTTATTGCTCTACATCTTGTATTGAGCCCTTTTTAAATTAATATTATGAACATTTGAATTTATATTCTTTTCATTCTTTTCATTCTTTATATATATATATATATATATATATATATATATATATATATATATATATATATATATATATATATAAAATGAGCTCTTCTATCCGTCACACAAAGCTATTCGTCTCTACGACAGTTTGAATCTACTGATACAATGGTCGGTCACCTTAAAATTTAAAAAATAAATAAATATTACTCATGGACGATCATGTCCCCAACGCACTTTTGTTTTGTGACCAAATCAAGAGTCTCGTTACATAGGCCTTCGGAACTAAATCTCTCAGTGAGATGCTCTTCATGTTAGAATAAGACTTTTGTCAAAAGTCCCAAAGATAAAGAGCAAACTGAGAAGATGCGCCCACTTCTATGTTGGTTGGCAACCAACGTGATAAAGAACATGGTACCATTAGGAACAAATAATGAAAGTCACATTCGTAATTAATTTTTCCTGCAAAAACACTGTAGAATTCATTTTAATTCTAACAATATCGGAACCGTATGTTAAAGAAGTTTTTCAAAAATCTTTTTGTTTTCGTAATCTGTCCTTTATTCTAATATTTCATAATATTTTTTAGATATTAAATTATTTCTTACAATCTACACGAACTGACAGTAAATCAATTACTGCACAGTTTCGAGATTTTTTCATCCATACTCGCAAGAATAACAAACTATTTTGAAGTATTTCATTAATAATTGCTTGAGTATATTCTGATTAATTGTTGTTGAAAATATACTGTTTTATTATTCGCAAAGTTAACCGATTCATGTGGTAACGGTTAATATAATGTATGTGTGTGCGTATACATACACACACGTGTGTGTATATGTATGTTTGTGTCATAAGGAATGGACATGTTTTTTCATTCTCCAAGAAAGCGATGTACTTTTTAAGGGGAAGTGATGATTATTTTTATTTTTCTATACTGTTCATTGTTTATTATATGAATATAATATAATTTTTATTATATTATTATAGATTTATTATCTGTATTTATTGGAACACATATTTGTTTATTTTATTACGATAAGTTGTCTTATACATCGATTGTTTTCTTCTTAAAGTAATCGTTATTTAGCGAGTTTACATTATTACTAATCATACTTATTATAAAACCCAGGTTGTGTGTGTGTGTGTGTGTATGTGTGTGTGTGTGTGTGTCTGTTCGTTTATATATTGGATCGGATTTCCTACATTTTTCAACCGATTTCAACAAAACTTCACAGGACTACGTAAAATTATTTTGCGGTGGTTCTGACAGCGCCAAAAATTGGAAAAACATAATTGCAATCAATTTGAAAACACGATTAAGAGGCATCGCTGTCGCGAGAATGGAAGGGGGACAACTCATATTGAATTACTAGCAGTAGAGCCCAGCGTTGCCAGGGGATGTAACAGTAAGAGATAGATCAAGTATCGACCATCATAAAGACTGAAAAATAAAATTGACAAAGATTATTGTTTAAGATTGACGGGCACGCATGTCTTAATTAGTATTTTTTTTTTTTTTTACGAATTGGTCAAACCCAAAGTCAAACAAAAACATTGTTTTCAATCGTTATGAGTCTACCGATCGAATAGAATTTTATTATAAACAATTGTCTTGTAAATTAAATTTTTAAAGCATTCTGAATGTAAAAATAAAGAAAAAAGTGTGCAAGACAATAAGAAACACTACCTGCCAAAAAACAAGTGAAGTTTTGTTGATACTGGTGTCAGACGCGTTCGAATTACACTCGCACTAATAGTACTTGCTCGATAATACTCGCACGAGAAAGTAACCACTGAATAGTGATCCGAATAGTAATCCGTGTTCAAATTCCAGTGTCGGCAGTGACACTTTATTCCTATATAACAAATATATTGTCACTAAGAATGATTATATTATTTTGAACAATTAATACATTGTATTTACTAAATTATTTGTACACTGACATGAATAATTGTATTTCATTTATATTTTAACGTAAGATTTTTTTATGAAAGGCGTATTTTTGAATATGTAGGAAAAGTGTCTCGAATCCTAACGTTTATTTCGTTTTGTTTATTTTTTTACTAATGGTTTTGTATATGCGATTTTCTCCTATAATTTATCATTCAAACAGTTTTAACGCCGACAAAATAAAAAAAAAATGTTCTTATATTTATTCGACGATAATTATATATATGTAGATAGATAGATAGATAGATAGATAGATAGATTCTTTTCATATTTATTGGTGCAGTAGATCTTATCCCGATATCCAGTGTAAAATATAAACGTGTGTATGTGTACATATGTGTTTTAAACTTTAAATTTTATTAATTTTAACTTGATTCTTGTACTTCAAATCAAGTGATCTGGTTTTATGTTAATATTCCTTAGATTTCAACTCATGGTATAACCTTCAGAAAAGTTTTTCATAATTTAGTAATTCCCCACTGGCCCGGAAGGGGTCTAGAACCTTATTCAGCAACCTTCCTAAAGATGGTATCTAGATACAAACGGTCTGTCTCCTGTGCTGTGAACGGGTTAATAGAAGTAGATAGGTTCGCCTATCGCCCGGCCAGTACTCCTTCCTTGTTTACTGAACAGGAGTAGCGATCTATCCCTTGTTTCCTGTTTAGGATATTGTTTAATGATTCCTTTCTCCCATGCCCTTAATGGCTTAACTGTATTAAATTTTTGCTGATCTGGCTGATCAGTGGCTGTGACTTTTCATTCTGAGGGTACTGGGCTGGTTGTTTTTTGTGTTTTTTTTTTGGTTTTTGTTTTTGTTTTTTTGGGGGTTGCTGTATCTTAGAGATGCTGCTCTGTTAAGCAGTCGCATAATATCGGGGTATTTGCAGTGTCATGTGGCGCATGGATAAGGGTCTCTGCATGTACTTACGGTGATAAACACTGAGCTCACATTATGCTTTAGTCTTAGCCACGCTGTGGTCAGTTCTTATTGCCGTAGATGATAGACAGTAATAATTATTTGGCGTTTTTTTCCTTAAAACATAATCTTCTTATGACAGTTACACTTAAAAGAAATACGAGTAAACCAATAAACAAAAATCACCAAACCCACTCCTCAACCTTTCTTTCTCCAATATTTTTCTGAACTATTTTAAATTCTTCTCTCACTACCAATGAGTTCTCTGTTCTAGACTATTTTCCTCTTTGTTGAAAAGATTCTAAAATATATATGCATGGCGTTGGCGTTTACATCCCAGAAAATCTTCCAATAGCAAGGGAATTTTCTCTTGAGTATACGAATGATTCTTTCATGTGATTTCGACTTTCTTTATTGCACTCTGTTGGCTATCACTTTTCCCCTCCTTCTCAAAACTGTAACATATTATACAAAATATCTAATAGTATAGAAATCTCTCTCTGTGTCTCTCCTGCCCCCCTTCCATTAATCTGCAAACATGCTTGTGTGAAAGGGTTTAAAAGCTCATTATGTCAAGGGGCTTAATCATTCTAATGTTACTGATGATGCAGTTATTCAAACTTTCAATTTTTCCTTCAGTTTTTTCTTAACTGGGCCAAGAAAAAGCTTGTTAAGTTTAACGCCTCCAAAATGAAACTGTTCTCTTTTAACAGTGTTAGAGAACATTTGTTGCTGTCCTTCAAAATGGCAGGTACTAACTTCCAGGAGAGTGATTCCTTGCAACTTCTCGGGCTAAAGTTTCCCGCTAACGTGACGTCGAAGATTATATTAAATCAGTTGCAAGGCCTGCTGCTAGGAAACTTGGTTCACTGTGTCGGACTAGACAATCTTTCTCGCCAGAATCTATCTTAAATGTTTGTAAATCTACTATTCGTTCATTCTTCGAATACTATTGTATCATCTAGTCTGATGCTTTTGTTATGTATTTAGAGATTCTTGTTTCCAAAGAAAAATCTGTAATGTTATTGGTTCTGACCTGGCATCTTGGCTTCAGTTATATTCCAACCGCTATAATGTAGCTTCACTGTGTCTTTTCTATAAATATTCTCATGATAATTGTTCAGATGAACTCTTCACTGTGGCACCTGGAATTTATTTAATTCAAGCGCAGTACTAGATTGGCGGCGAGGTCTCGTCCTTTTACAGTTGAAATCGCTAAATGTAAAGTTCTATGCTAAAAGTTTCTTCCCTCGCACTTCTCACTTGTGGAACTCTCTTCAGGGTACTTGCTTTAAACTAAACATTGTTCTTCAAAAATTTAAATCCAATGTCAATCGTTATCTTCTGTCTTCTTAATTCTTGTTCTCACTCCTTAATAATGGTTTCTTTTTCTCCCATTCTCTCACACCCTCATGCGTCTTAGTGGCTTTATTACCTTGCTTGGGGTGAAACCATATATAGGTTAATGGTCAAAGTTGAATCAGACCAGGAAACTGTAGTATTAAAAACTGCTCAATACACGTGTAAAAAAATAAACAAGAGTAAAAATAACATGGATAGCTTTTAACTTTAAAACTTTCACATCCTCCTCCTCCCTTTCTATTACATCCAACGTCGTGCATTTGTTTATTTTTGAAAATAATTATGTAACGTTCTTCAGTTTTTTAGGTGGTCATTTAATAAAAAAATCGCCCGAGGGTACTGTAAGGTTAAAACCAAGGTAGCGGATTCAACTGAACTCCTGGTTTTTAAAGTATATATATATATATATATATATATATATATATATATATATATATATATATATATATAAAATATGTGAAAACCAGTTTGATGTTTAGAATTTTATTGTTGTCAACGTTTCATTCAGTGTGAAAATTAGCGGAATGAAAAAAAAGAAAGGAAAAATCGTCATCATAACAATCTTGTTACTTTGAAATGCTGTGATAATTAGAATTTAAAAAAAAATTAACAGTTGATAAAATTGAAATATATCTATAAACATACAAATGAGATTTGTACACAGGAAAAGTTAAACTAAAATGTAAAATATACTGAATGTATACAGGTTTTAGTCATTGCGTTTGTCAGTAATTATTTACGTCGATAGATTTCGGGCTAAATATAGATATCTAGAATCCTCATGATAATTTTTCAAGATTATCATTGCTAGGAAAAACAAAATCTCAAACGTATAAACATTAGAATTTTGAAAAAAAAATTCGATACACAATTGTAAAGACGTAAGATGTTTTTTAAATATTTTTCCTGTTTTCCTGTGTTTTTTTCTTGAAATGAAAGAAGCCTAATTTTTATCTAAAAAATATTGATTATTTACAACGTAGAACTGTTATAAAATCAATATTTACTTCATTCATTTCAACGCCAGTTCTTTGTTTTTTTTTATTTTTTACATCGATATCACATCAAGCAAGTCACTAAATCGACTAAAACACAAGGGGTTACAGGGTGTGAAAGAATTAGAAACAGAAACATTAATAATGAGCAGAAAAAGAAAAGAGTAATCAGGACAGTAGATAGTGATTGATATTACATTTAAATTTTTTGCAGATAAAAGTTGGCTGGAAAGCATAGAGCTGGAAGGGAGTTCCACAAGTGAAAAGTGCAAGAAAAGAAACTGTTAGCATAGAACTTACGGCTACATCTAGCCATCCCAGCTGTAAATTGATAAGATCTTGACGACAGTCTAGTACTGCGCTTAAATCCAAAAAGTCTAGGTACCATAGCGAAGAGCTCATCCGAACAATTATTATGAAAGTCTTCACAGAAAAGACACAGAGTGGCAACCTTACGGCGGTGGAAAAGTGACTGAAGCCAAGCCTCATATTGCATATTTTCTTTGGATCTTATCAAGAAGCTCAAGGTAAATAGCAGGGGCACAGGACCATATGTGACAGAAATACTCTAAGCAGGGACGAATGGTAGACTTATAGATATATAAGATAGATTCTGGAGAGAAATATTGTCTCAGACAATACTGTGAACCAACTTTCTTAGCAACTGACCTAGCAATGGATTCAATATAATCTTTCCACTTCATGTCAGCTGAGAACGTTAGCCCGAGAAGTCATAACGAGTCTCTTTCCTGGAGGTTATGGAAGGCAGTGGAGGGTCTTTTCAATGATTAATGAAGAAAAGTTTAGTTTTGGAGGCGTTAAAATTAACAAACGATCTTTTGCCCCAGTTAACGACGGACGTGGGGTCATTTTCGACATCAGCTTCCATTATGACCTTGTCGATTGATCAGCCTTATAAGTTGAGAGCTGGTGTCATCGGGAAGATCGATAATGCAAATTAAAATTAAAAACACCAGGATCAAGAATGGAGCTTGCGGGGGGGGGCATTAGTACGAACGGATCTAGGTGAGTTGCCGTTCAGGATAACATTCGTTTCACAAATTGGTAGGAAAGACTGGATCAGCTCAAAAATATGTCCGGAGACACCGTAACTTTTCAGCTTATGGAGAAGACCTGTATGCCAGACGCTGTCAATGGCTTTTGAGATATCCAATGCTACAGCCCGGGCTTCACTGTTTTTATCCAGAGCATGATAGACTCCTCCGCAATTACCATCAGTACATCAGCAGTTGACCTGGAGAAACGAAAGCCCTATTGCTTGTCTAACAAAAGGTCCTGCGATGAGAGATGATGAACCAATTCAGCATTGATTAGGGGGTCTAGGAGTTTCTCAAAAAAGGTAGAAGCCTAATAGGCCAATAGATGGAAGGGTCGGACGGTTCACCAGAGTTCTGGAAAAACAAATGATGACTTCCATCAGGAAAACAGGAGGCATCTATTATACAGTTTTTGAGAAAACGGCAGCCAGTTCAGGAGCACACTTCTTAATGACTATTGCAGGTATACCATCGTGTTCACATATTTTGTAGAGATCAAGGTTAGAGATGATAACAGAAACCATGGATGTGGTTATATGCATGTCACTCAACAGAGATTCAGTTCTAAGTGGGAAGTTAGACAGAGATACTCTAGATGAGTCAAGAGTAAAGTTTGAAACGAATTTACAGGCAAATCATTCAGCTTTATCAACAGATGATGATAACACTTCACATTGATTGAAGAGGGGGGGACTAGAGACTCTGCACTTATTTAATACCCTATTAAAGAGCCGCCAGTAATCACGTGAGCCAAATTTGTTAGAGGCTATGCGATGCCCCATTCTCTCGGCTCCTTCGAGGACTCGCTTATATTTATTACCAGCAGTAACGAATAGGCATCTGTTGTGACGAGAACTGTCATGCTGGTATAGCCGGAAATAGTAGTTCTTGTGTCCTATAGCAGCCGAGCATGCCGGCGTGAACCATTGAGAGGATTGCGGTTTCACCTGGTATTTCCGAGAAGGGATGAAAGCGTCCATGCCGGCTTTGACACAAGAAGAAAGAGTCGCGCAATTTTCAATTGAGAGGTGGAAGATGTCAGTCCATGGGGCGTCACGAAGAAAATCACGGATTGAGTCCCAATCAGCATGCTGGTAACGGAAGAGATCTTATGGATAGTGGGTTCTTGCTTAACGAAATATCAATAGCTACCACAGAGCGGTCCGAGTTACCAAGAGGGCTCGGCAAAGATAGGAAGGGAGTTAAGAAATATATCAAATAAAGAAGTCTGTTGCTAGGTTTGGCGAGGGAAGCGACTACCTTTTTAAAAATATTAAAAATTTAAATATTCTTATAATGAAAATGATTTAATTAAAAAAAGTTAATTTAATCACTACTCGAGAATTACCCATTTTCTCCTGAGCAAAAAAAAAACAGTGACGGTGGGAAATATCCATGAGACAGTGGTTCCGTGATAACAGACATATCAATAACATTAAGATTGAGTAACGAAACATGAGAACTATGGAACTCAATATGTGTAATAATGTATTTTTACTTCATTACTACGATTTCGATTTTCTGACGTATCGAGAGCTCTGAATGTGCATTTTCACTCGCAGCGAACAATACTATAATGCGAATAGCAATTATATACTAACTTTTCGAGTGATAATTCAATGAAGGTGGAGGTACGGGTGGTGTAACAGTTATCAGCGTTGTAAACGGAGTCGGCGAACTGAGTTCAAGTTTTAGTCAGGCCGGCTTGTAATTATGTACTTCTTAGTATTTCTCTCGAGAAAGGAATTAACCCACTTCTCCCGTCGGTCACGGGTAAATGTTAGAGCAATTGGAACACTTTAGCCATGTAAAGGAAGCCCAAATAAGAAAAGGTTACTCTAAAATAGCAAATACAGCAAAAAGATGGGATACGTGGGTCCAAAATTTCATCCGATCTGCAATTGAAGCAACAGAAATTGTATGAACATATGACATCTATTGTAAAACATATAAGAATGGATTTCATAGATAGATAATGAAATACTGAGATAGATAATGAAAATACTGACATAGATAGATAGATAGATAGATAGATAGATAGATAGATAAATATTTCATCTGAGGACAATGCAGGGCATTAGGAAAGAGTTGGGTGAGTTTAATTGTGATTACGAAGGTACGTCACTTGGAAAACTCACTCTAATAGTTCTGATAAGATAAGAACTCCCGAATTTGTTGGTGATACCCTCAGACACAACATGGAGGCCTGCATCAAGTGCCTTGAGGGGGGAGTGCTAGTGGGTGGCTGCTGGAAGGTCCCATGTCTGATAACAGGACTCTGAACTATGCTACACAAGCAGGAGAACTCAGTTATGGTTATCAGACAATTTCTGCGACCCCATCAGCCCTTGCATTTGCCCACCTAATTCCTCAGACTGCAATCCCCTTGTGTGGGATGCAGTTGAGCGAGAGACCAACAAAACTCCTTGTAATACCATAGATGAACTGAAGGCAAGGATTATGGCAGCATTCACCAACTTAAACAAGGAGACCGTCCAGAATAGTTGCTGGAGATTCCGAAATCGTCTAGAAACCTTTGTTGAAGCCAATAGCGATTTTATTGAATAAATTTACTCTTTAGTATTTCAAGATATTTTTGTGTAATTTTTGCTAAATATATCTGTTAAAAGGAGATGTCAGTGTGTGTGTGTTTGTGTTTGTGCGTGTGTTATTGCATTTGCGCATATATCTACTTAAATATAAATGTTTATATCTCAATGTGAAATGGACAATTTTCCATCGTTTTTATTATTATTTATAGCTGACAAAGAAAATATATCTTCTTATTTACAGATTTAACGTGCAGTCTTTGAAAAAACCTCTTCCGACTCATTTCCTTACTCGAAACAATATTTCGCAGAACAGTTATCTACGTCAATGTTTCTACACCTCTCATCCCACTATTACTGCCACTGTCGTAACACACGATCCTTCGACCACTTCCTGCACGCCCAGACTCCAAGCCACTCTCACCTACCATGCGAGTCGATTACTTATGTTCAACTACTACCACAAAGACATGCTATAAAATCATTATAAAACTCACATTTTCTTTGAAGGTACCATGTACAATAGCCATTGCATTTGTCAAATAATTCAGCCATATCCCTAACTGAGCCGAATCTGAGGCGAAATATATATAATCTATTCAGTATCGCTTTAGCATATCTTTCAAGGAGATTCATGCGTAAGTGAGCTCTTTCCAATTGCTTATTACAATTTGAAGAGAAAGAGGAATCTTAAACGCCATATCTTTATCGTTTCTTTTCGTCGTTGTCGTTATCTTTTTTTTTTTAATCCACACGCTAATAACTCTCCAAGGCGCTGATGCGTTCATGATTTATGAATAATAGGATATAGCGCAACGAAAAGCCTAAAAGATGAGGACGAGAGAAGAACAGTAAATGACAACGAACAATGAACATCCTGGTCTCGTGACGTGACAAGCAGTGATTTGAGACTTCAATGAACGAAGTATTCACCTGGACATCGTCGCCATATTGGAAGGCTGGAGTTAGACATACAATAGCACAGAAATAAAGTGTTACCACTGTGACTGGAGTATCTTCGTAAAAATAGCGGCCATCTTGGCGTGACTAAGCTCAATCAGGGTCGCTTCTGCGATCGAGCGTGCGCAAATAGTACATCCGCTGAGCGCAGCTTGTCATCTGCACACATTATGAAGGGTTATGACACTGGTTTGATCCAGCGTAACCCAGCTTCCGGTGGTAGAGCAATATGGAGACCCAAAAAGACAATAGGAAAAAACAAGGAGAAAGGAGTGGGCCAAGGGGTCGTGAACCGACCACAAAAGAAACTGAAGAGAATTATCAAATTAAGAGACGATTGAAACACAATGAATCAATGAATATTTTTACAGCTGAGATTCATTTCTTCAACACTGAAAAGAAAGAGAGCCATATAAAGGGGGTATTAAAATTAAACAGGTCGCCACGTGGAATACACAATGTCTACATAAAAAAGAAATGAATTGCCAATTGTGATGCATTTTGGTGGGTGTGGACTGCATTGAACAAAAACCAACAGTATTTCATGCACGAATGAACGATAGATAGATAGATAGATAGATAGATAGATAGATAGATAGATAGATAGATACAGAGATAGATAGATAGATTAGAATTAGCAAAGAAGAAAGAAAGAAATATGGTAGATATAATTTTTTACATTTGAATAGGTAAATAAGAGTGTCAATGCATTTCTCGAAAGATAAATGAGGTGACAGACAAAGCAGATAGAAAAGAGATCGATAGACTTTGTTATAACGAAAAAGAAACTCCAAGAATAAATTCGCAGTTACAATGATAATCAAGAAACAAAGAGAAAAATATGAGAAAACCAAAATAAATTACGGAATCCAACAGAATGAAAAGATAAAGACCAAATAGGAAACGTTTATCAATTTAATGTTTCACTTTTATTAAAGCTTCATTAGGGAATGAGATATTGAGAAAAATAAGGAAGAGATTCTGGTGTTTTGACTCTTTGATTTTCATTGATTAATTATGTTTCATGTGCATACGACTTGTTAAACAAACGTTAGTATAATTTGTAGCGTTCTGAATTCAAGGAGAGACGACGCGTTCATAACGCAGTTTCAATAAATTACCGAAATTTTAAGACTAACTTAAAAACCGTAAATATTGCTTTATGTCTGTATGTGTATAATAATTCTAGTTTGTCTATGTGGGATTCAGATGATAATGTATATTCGTAAATGTGTGTGTCTAGTAGATATTTTACGTAGATACCGTTTGTTTTAGATAAACATACGTTAGATTCTTTAAGAATGGGTTCAGTAAAAGTTGGTGATGTGATATAATGTTTTCAACGTGTATTCATAATTGGCAATATTTTTATTAGTAGACCTTCGAAGTACTTTCAATGTAAAAATTATGTTCTTTTTCAATTAGGGTGGAATTTGTAAAATCAAAGTTATGGCCAGTTTTGTTCTTGTGTACTACAACAGAGTTTAAATAGTTGTCCATATATATATATATATATTTAATCATTTCACCCCAAGCATGGCGATAACGCCACTAAGACTCAAGGGGAAAAGACTTTAAAAGAAACCGGAAATCTAATCCTAAATATGAAACAAGGGATAAACCTGATTGTTAGAATTATTGAGCATTACACAATATATCTATCTATCTATCTATCTATCTATATATATATATATATATATATATATATATATATATATATAGAGAGAGAGAGAGAGAGAGAGAGAGAGAGAGAGGGAGAGAGAGAGAGACCTGAGTGAGAGAATAATACTATTTACTCAGATTTTACATTTAATCCATATATATTTATTGACATTTACTCAATTTACAATATTTCTACTATGAAAACGCAGAATGATACCATAAGTAAATTTTTGGGAAGTATTGTTGATCAATTCGATGGTGACATGAGCCAGAATCAAATAATATCGACATTTGAATTTCCACTTTCAGCTGCAGTGTGATCTTATAATTCAATTAACCCTGCGTTAGTCACCTCGGATTTCCGAAAATGGATAGTCCCCTGAGGACTGCCTCTCACAATATCTGAGCTACAACTGTGCCACAGAGCGTGCTAAACACCCTCACTGAATCAGGATAATAGTAGGAAGGAGCAAAAGAAACAAGTTGCCATCTAGGAATTACGGGTGCTTTAAAAGTTTCGAGGTAACAAAACACCCCCGTGTGATTAACACAGGTTTAAAAAAAGAAATCATTTCCTCCTTCTCGGGTCGAAACGGACCATTAGAAAAGAATCTTAGGGGTGGGCGGTTTCAGAAAAGAAAGAGAAAATCATTCGGGTAGAAGGATGATATATAGTGCCGTGGTAGTTTGAAATGAAATCCCGTAAGGGAGTATCTCTCCTTCTGGAAAGGGGTTGGAGTCATTACCAAAAGTGGATGTGCCGAAGATGCTTGAGCAATTTTTGAAAGGCTTTCCGAAAACCCCACATTAAACTCCAATCTTGGGTCACAATCTGTTGCGACGTGAGCGCTCGGATAAATACCTCCATGCAGCATCGGGTGTGAAATTTCGTAGATGGACTGTTTTTTAATCGTTCTGCCCACTCGTCAGGAAGTTTCAACATATGAATATTTAATAGATAATGATGATATATATATATATATATATATATATATATATATATATATATATATATATATATATATATATATATAGAGAGAGAGAGAGAGAGAGAGAGAGAGAGAGAGAGAGAGAAGATTTATAACGATATTATGAAGAATTAAGTTATAGCATTTTAGCATAAGATTTATAACGACTAAGCAGGCAGAAAAGTAATTCCGTAGAATTGATTAACATTCTGGAAATAAGAAAGAATGCATCTCAAATGCTGGACAAAATCTTGAACGTTCAGTGCCCTGTTATTTTTTATTTCTTAGATGCTCGTTCTAGATTCGTTCATACTTGTCGAAAATGCCTGACCAATGATGTTAATTTTGTGGCAAAATAGTGTTTTGTAGTAAACAAAAAAACAGGGTCTAGACATGTTATTGTGGAAATAAATAGGGGACTTTATTTTAGAAGCGTCCTCGTAACGTGTTGGAATCATATTTTAAATAAAAATTATATATATATATATATATATATATATATATATATATATATATATATATATATATATATATATATATATAATAGCTGGCCACTCGTATTCGAGGATACCCGTCTACTAGCGCGGCTAACCAATCTCTACTGCAGACGCTCGCTCAGGCACATTTTTTGTTTGCTCAACACTCACAGAGCCCACATGTGGTTTATACTGCAACTATGCTGAGCAGACTTTAGTTGCAGTCTCTGGGAGAGAGTGTGTTATCTAGCGTGATCAACAATTGAACAAGACCAGCACGCTCAAGCTCTCGACCACGATGACTTGTGGCTTCGTGCTAGCACAGCTATCGACGGCCCCCAAGAGTTCCGTCAACGAATTTCACTCTCAAGGCTTTGGTTAACCCGTAAGATGGTTTTCAGGCACTTTCCAAAGGTGAAGCACGCTGGGATCGACCTCGATAACATCAGGAAGTCTCCTTCCTGATAAATCGACCATGGTGAGATTCGAACCCGAGTCTCATAGTCAGAAAGTGAACATTCTAACCACTATATATATATATATATATATATATATATATATATATATATATATATATATATATATATATATATATATATCGTGTTGCGAGATGTATAATAGTATCTGAAACAAAATTGAAGATGATGAGATAAAGTGGAAATTTATTAACGACGCATTTTGCCGAGAGCGTATGCTCTCTTTAGCTTCTTCAGGTTAGAATGAAAGAAAGGCAGGAACGAAATACGTTGGCTTAAAAAAAAAAGTTTTCCTCTTGTCTTTTATACAGAAAATATATTTATATACTATATATTTATAGAGAATTTATATATATTTTGTGTGTGTGTGTGTGTGAGTAACTCTCTACATATATGTGACTTGTGAATCTTAATCTTTGGCCTGACCGTGAGAAAGGCATAGTCTTCTTTGCATAGTCTTGGGTTTCTCCTCCCGCCTTTCCACTGCTACCCTACTTACCTCGGTCCGACACACAGCCTATCTACTTTCATGCTATCAAAAAAAAAAAACGAAAAATAAAAATAAAATGAGTGCCCGACGATTATTCGCAGAAAAGTGAAAGGACAACAAAATAATTACGAAAAGAAAAAAGAAAAATGACCTTGAAATAATAATAGAGAAAATGGCAGCAATTATGATTATTATCACTATTCACACCAGCGTTAAACCTGCTGAAGATCAAGTGACGTCAAATCTCGCTAACGCTTCTCAATATCTCTGCTATCTTCATTATAAGCATTTGTTAAGCACTTTTTTTTTACTATTTTTCACCTAATACAGGACACAAGAGACACTCAAGGTATAGGGTTACTATGCGAGATTGTTTTATGGACATAAGAAGAGGAGGCAAAAAGTGCCGATTATGAGAACATGTAGGATAGATCATGGTTTACCTAAAGTTGAAGAGGTTAAGATTGTGTTGGTAAAGAAATCATCCTCTCAAAGAAACCGTTCTAGGGAAGAATTTCGTTCTTAACAACGGAATACGAAAGGAATGAGAATTGTTAGACTCTATGTACATGTAATGACATGTCCTAGCTGTAGGTAATGTAACTCTGAACATCGACACATCAATAGTGATACAGTAGCAATAAGCTTCCGAAGTTTCATCTGTGGAAAAGGGCCGCAGAGTGGAAAATAATTCATCAGCCACAAGGCTGCGTAGATGCTTTTGAAGGGGTTCTGTAAAGTGGGAATTGCACAAATATGGCATCAGTATTTCATTTTTGGTTCGATCCGGCATTTGTAAAGAGCATGGCAGATGGAGTAAGCTACTTTCTGGAGTGATATAAGGAGCCGACTATTTTTCCATAATTTATATATACGAGTTCCACTGGAGACCTGGGATAAACTTTGATCCCAAGAATAAAATATTAGAATCGCAATAATGTGTCATTCCTCGAAGATCGTGAATATTTTTCTTAACTCTGATGTCCTGACTTTTTCCATTGTTCCAATTATATTCCGATTTGATACATCGAAGGTCAAATGTCCAAATGAGTTCCATTATTTCATTCCAACGGTTGAGGATTTTCCAGCTAGGACGCACTTCCACAGAGTCGAATCACCATTATTTCCTCAATGTTCCAAATGAAAGTTCCACTCAGACAGAAACTGCCAAAATTGCGAAAGGGACTCCTTCATTTGATGCTTAACTGCATTTAATCATGACCGCTTCAAGTCAAGGGTCAATAGTTATCCATCATCGTTATCCCCATAATCTTTACTTCCTACCACCTTCTCTGACATTCATAAAGCACATCTTATTCATCATTGCCATTTTGACTGTACGCTCTAACTTGAGTAGTTTTCGAGCCTTGTATTGGATAAAATGTCGTAAAAGAAGAAATCTTTTGGTCATGTCTTGGGGTTATTATTTTGATTTTAGCATTATTTGTTACTTCCTTTTCACGTTCGGTTTGAAGAGGTGTTTATCACTGCTAGTACAGTTTTCATGCAATTTTTTATACACTTACACAATTATAATTTTATGCATTTAAAATTGGTTTTGTTTTTTCATTGGATTGAATGATTAGTGTAATCGCAAATAGTAAAGTTCAAATGGCAACAAATCTCTTTTACGTTGCATCATTTTTGGTATTTTCTTTTGAGCCATGCAGGAGGAAAATTTAAATTGCTTATTG